AGCAGTTATATAACGGCCCTGGAAATCCATTGATAGTGTAAGCATCAGATACATTCGGTCCTCCACCAGTTTGTATGGCCTGGGCTATGACTGCCTCAGGATCAGCATTCCACCATTCTCCTGAAAAGTTGAATGCACATCAGATTAGGTTACTAGGATATGAATGTTATCAAACAAGGAAACCCAAACTGTCAGTAGAAGAAGACATCACTATTTCATTACCAAAGATGATGGGAGCTTCCTTATAGGGTTTGGTGAAAGGATATGGAACACCACGCTTGGGAAGGATGACGATAGGACCATAGACAGTTGATCTTAACCATGAAATATGAGCATGCCAAAAGAGAGTGCCTCTCTGGCCAACAATGGTGTAATTGTAGACATAACTTTGTCCAGTTTGGATGGGACACTGTGTCACATATGCTGGTCCATCTGCCCACCCTGTTCGAAGTTGTCGAATCCCATGCCTATTTGAAAGATAACCATATTTTTGATATATAATTAAGGATTTTTTTTTTCAATATCATAAGGAGAATCCTAGGTAGAAGCAGTCTTAAAAACAACATAAACAAAGCCAAATGTGAAAAGATATTTAAACATGTGAGAGATGAGTCCTATTGAAACTGTGCAGACTAGGTCAACCAAAGAGTTTTTCCTTCAAGTTTTTTAAAAACAAAAATTTTCCCTACCAATGGATGGTGATGTTGTTCTGTACATGGTTAACCACTTTGATGACAAGACGATCACCCTCCCTTGCTACAATCCGAGGTCCTGGAAACTGACCATTGACCGTGACCATGCTCTTGGTGTGGCATAGTCGTGTTACATTTTGGTACTTGATCTGCATTACAAAGTCAAGCCCAAAACAGAGGAGTAAGAATGTGGAATGCTAAAGATACAAAAACGAAATATAATTTAGCTTCAAGATAAGAGCATCAAGTCCTTAGGACAAGTACTTCAAAATGGTAATGCCTTGTAACTCCCCCTTGTGCTACAGAAGGGAAAATAATCACTGAGAAAAGGAAGAGTGCCGGGAATGCAAATGATGGAAAAGGAAGAACACCCATTTGCTCTCTGTTCTTTGAGAAGCTAATGATTGCTTTAAGAGAGCTGGAGAGAGCAAAGTGTTCCTTTGTAAACTGTGGATGCAAAAGAGACCGTGGGTCGGCAATAAATAGAGGAACGAGATCAGTAGTTTGAGTAGGTGATGCAATATATCCACATGTTTCAAAGAGAAGCTAAGCTCTAGAAGAGCTACAATTGCTGTATTTTAACGGGATGAGTTGTTTGAACAACTTTAGATTGGTGTCCAAGACAATCAATTTCTTTTGATCTCCTTCCTGTTCAAGTGAAATCCTCGTAATATTGCTTGTCTGAGACACTGTTCTTAGAAAACCCATGTTACCAGCTGTTTTGTTACACTTCTTAGTGCATGCAAAGTGACATAACCTGGTCTACAGGTGAAAAGAACTTGTTGATTTACTATGGGAATGTAAGGCAGAACAGGTTTACTATATAGACCACCTAAAAATTCATGTCTATTGATGATCAGTTTAATTTACAGATGAAAACTTAACCTAAGATTATGCCTATTGATGATGTTAAATATCTAAGCTTGGCTTACGTAAGAACTTATGGAATTTATCTTTACTGCAGCTTGTTATCTGGGTTTAAATCCACAGGACATGAAGCTTCAGAATCAGAAGTGAAGCTTGAAAAACCAAATCTCACTGGTCAGAAGTAGCTGTCTCAACCGAAGTTCTTGGTGGCAAAGGAATATAATAATGTTGAAGGACGTGAGAGAGGGTTTCTATATGGCCTCTCAATGTCAAGAAGTCCCTTTGAGAGGTGGAAACAACGTCTCTTTTCCATAATTTTTTATATTATCATGAACAACACGACACAGAACATGCATGAAGAGTAAGGAAACCTCAAGCAAACAAGGTTGTATTAGAGAAGAAACCAAACAGAAATTTGACATACATTGAATTTCAAGGAAAATGATGGTACCCATTTTATTTTTGACATTATATTTTCTAGGGGTGTTCACGGGACGGATCGGGACCGGGACAGGCCCGTCCCGGTTCTGTCCCGATGAACAGTAACGGGACAGATTTCTGTCCCGTGTCCGGCCAGTCCCGGGGTTGTCCCGGTCCGGTCGGGACGGGACCGGGACGTCCCGAAATTATTTTTTTTAATTTTTTAATTTTTTTTAAAAAATTTGATTTTTTATTATATTTTTTGAGCTTAAATCTTATAAAAACATATTTTTATTTGTTTGGCACTCTTAAACAAAAGCTCAAAATATTACATATAATAGTTATTAAAAACTCTAAACAAAAGCTTTTAACACAATAAAAACTTGCTAAAAATTCTAATCATCAATAATCTCAAATCATTAACAAATATAAAACTCTAAATAAATATATCCATAATTCCATACAATAGTCTCAAATCTAAAAAAATATGAAAAAATGATATTATATAAAAAATTAAAAAAATTTAAAAAAAAAAAAGAACCGGGACGGGACCGGGACGGGACAACCCCGTCCCGTGTCCCGTCCCGTCCCGATCCCTTTTTTGTCCCGTCCCGGTTTGTCCCGTCCCGTTCCAATAAGACCAGGACGGGCCGGCCTTGAACACCCCTAATATTTTCATTACTGTCCTCTCTTCATTGTAATCTGGGAATGGCTGGCTGGTAGTTGGCTGCCTTAAAATAAACACACACTTCATTAACATGTGCTAAAAGCCATAATGCTTGACCAAAAATTAAACTGTAAATGATTTAGGAAAGGGTCCCCTCTATTTAACTCAAAAAATTAAATCTCACATTGACCCTCTGATCTTTGCTTGGCTTTTGCTTTTAACAGAACTTTCTCCTCGTCAATATTTTGAATCGACCCCCAGCAACCATTGGACTTGTAAATGTTTTTAAAAGTTTGGTCATGCATAGTACTGCTGTATATGGACCTAAACATCATCTTTGTGACCTTTATATAGTAACATAGATTATATATGCTTTTTCTTCTCACCAAACTCTTCCAAAAATGCTAACAAAAATTAGCTCATTTGGTGAAAACTGAGTTAATGGGAACACAAAAGGCCTTAGATTTGACTCTTTTTTTTTTTTTAAATTAAGAGGGACAAACTTTCCTGTTTTATGTGCCCATTTTTTTTGCGACATATTCTTTCATTTCATCTACTATTAAGTTTATCTCGGGATCATGCATGTCAAGGCATGCCTGGGTTTTGGTGAATTTAAACACTCAACTCATCTAAATTTTATTGGGAAAAAAAAAGAAACTCCGAAAATATTAAATAAATTTTGTGAATTCAAAATATTATAATGTTAAATTTAAGTGCATATTCCAATTCCAAACATGCGGGGATCATGCCGTTATGGCAAACCGGTTCCTTAACATTTTCGTCCAAACCAAGTCTTGCGTATATATTTTCAATTATAACCTTTTTTTTTAAATAATAATAGAGAATAAACAAATTAAGATCAAATATAAACTGCCGTTGCTATATTGTTAGAAAAATATAAGAATTAATAAAAGATAGTCATGTATGCAAAATGTTATTGTAATTAACTAAGTGAAAGTTCGTAATTGTTAAGTAAAATTCATAAATTCAAAATAATATGGTTTTAAACTTAAATTATATATATTTCTTAACTTTTGAGTATTATAACTTAATGGTAAGTGGTTTACTTGCCATTAGCAGTTTTATTAGATATCAGGTAAATATATTTTTTCCTGTTAATAAAGATATTCCAGTTGGTAAATCGGAAGTCTTTCATATTAATGCGAAGTCCTTGCTACACGTGAAGCATAGGTACTCTGTTTTGTGTCTCTTTAAATTATTTGTACCACCACCAATCCTTAATATAAAAGTTACTTTAACATTTAATTTGGTCCTAGATATAAAAATCTAATTCATTTTATCTCTCATATTTATCTTTTTTTTCCAAGATAATTCTCGTCATAGTTACCTATGTTAAAGATTTGGTCAAATAGTAGTTCTAGTTAATACACTTGATTAGTAAAGGTATTTTAGAAAAAAAATAACACATATCTATTATAAATAACTAATTTAACTAATTTTCTTAATCTACTCAAATTAGTTAACTAGCTCTTATATTAAATTCGAACGTAATATCATTTTCCTTGCATGCAGCTTATGTGTCATGTATTTATTTCATAATCTTGTAAAAGCCCAGTGTTTTTATGTAAATGCTGAGTAAAATTGTCCTTTTATTTAAAAATATAAAAGTGTTGAGCCCTCACAAGTCATAATACGTAGCCGCCTAAATCGTTTTTTATAAAAGAAAAAAAAATCAATCTCCTTTTTGCAGTTTGATTGTTGTCAAGGCTTTTTTCTACCTAAATTCCTTCTTTAATTGTATTCCCTTTTTGAATATTTAGTAATTGGCAGTGGGGTGGTTTTAAATTTCAATGTTCAAGTTGCTTCCAAAATCCCCAAATTGAAGAAGCCAAAAGAAGAAACACATAGCTTGGTGTACCCAATCTCCACTGTACGAAGTAACAAAGAAGTCTGAATTTCATGTACTTGCTGCTCCCTGGCTTTATATCATATACCTTGCAAAAAGTATCAAGATCTTCTTGCCCTTCAAAGGCCTACAATACAAACATAAAAAATTTCCCCATGTATTGCCAATCTCATGAGACAAAAACTTGACATGATCTTTATATGATTCCTGCATTAATTACAACTCTTTCACAAAACTGCCATGTCATGGGACAGAAGCTCTGTCATCAGAGTCTGCTACCTATGATTCCCATGACAAAAACATATTTCCTCATTTGCCTCGTATTCTCTTCCGGTGGAAGAATATATACTGAACATATGTATGCACGAAGCATTCCGCTATATGACAAAGGGTGTGGTATTCTTGTGCATTTTCGGTATAAATATCAAACGCTACTTTTTTTTTTTGAGCAAAAAATATCAAACACTACTTTTAAACTGTATGTTTTTCATACTTTTCTAGGTAAGCCGAAATTTTGGTAACACCTGATTTCACCTCCAAACCCAGCTGTTACAATGACCAAGCCCCAAGCTGAAGCATGAGAACTTGAATTGGCAAGGCCATTGTCAAACTGCATTGACCAAGATGCAGAAGGTGATCTACCAGAAGCAGACATGGAAGAAGGCGAGTCGCAATACCTCATGGAAGCAGACTCAGAAGAAGAAAACGAGTCCCCAAGTCCAGAACTGGTGCGAGATATGGCTCCAGGGTCTTCCTCTTCCATGGCATGGTGACCATTATTACTGCTCTTCCTAGAAAATGGGGACCACCTGCTCTTACTACCACTATGAGTGAATGAAATCCCTCCAATCCCAGACAGGGTACGTGAAATGGCCGAGGGCTCCTCTTCCCGGGAAGGGGAGGCAGTATCAGAGCCATGGTTATGGTTGTTCTTCTTTTTGGGAAGAGGAGGCAAAAATGTTGGCTTATTGTTGTTATTAGAATGGTGATGTGGAGATCCGCATGAAGGAGCTGGAGGGGCTGAAGAATGTTTTGTGTGCCTCTTCGAGTGTAGGGCTGGCCCTACTGGAGGGTCACCCTTGATGGTGCGAGGCCATGGTATTGCTATTGCCACATCTCTGCATTGGAATTGCTCGTGGGATTGAGTCAGAATCAAGTTCCTGGCTTTTGCGTGGCCTTCATTCTTCCACACATATACGTTAGAGTCTTCACTTGCACTTATCACGTATCTTCCATCTGGACTAAATGAAGCTGATATTTGGCTGTTTGCATTTCGAAAACCTGTTGTTCACCAACAGCCAATCCATTTTATGATCTCTTCGTTTTTCTGTTTTCTTATTTGCACCTTATCATTCTATTTCTAAGACATGTTTTTCATCTGAATTTGCTAATTAAAAAATAAGACACAGAGAGGTTTTAGAATACAAGAGTAAGCACCTACAAACTTATGAACAACTCTGGAATCTTCCACAATTCTGATCCTGGAATCAGCTGAGGTAACAAGCACTTCTGATGGATTACTTGGAGCAAACTGGATATAAGGATACAAAGCCAGTAATATTAATTACTTAACCTCTTATCTTATGGTTTAGAATGCAATCAATGGCATGGACTACGAATTACCTGAAAACCAGTCACCTTTCTTAAGTGAGATTTCTTCTTTCGCCGAAGCTCAACTGTGCCTATTTGACTTAGTTTGCAATCTGTGTCACCATTTTGAACCGAATTAACGATATATTTCAAAGTTTCAAGTTGAACTTTTTTCGACTTAATTAAAGTACCTTCTGTGCTATACATGCGACAACTTCCTTTATGAGTACCAACAAAAGCAGCCTGCATGAACAAAAAACACAATCCATCAATAGACAAAATATATAGATGGTAACTTTTCAGTTCATGCTTCTTCATAAAGAGGGTAATAAGGAGAAGAAATATACTTGAGCGTCAGGGGTGTAAGAAATAGCAGTGACCATTTCGTGGGCATCGATCCAATCCACTACAAAGCGTTGAGGTATATTCCATATCCTCACCTTAGCATCCAGACACCCACTTATGAAATAGTCTTCGTCCATTGGGTTGAATTGTACGCACGTTACTGCAACATATATATTCCCATTCATTCATTCTCTAACTAGTCTTAATTAATTAATCAATCAACTAAACTTCCTTCTCACCATAGTCACTGTGGGTGAACACCTGCAAGCACGCCCTGCTTTCCATGTCCCATAATCTCACTGTTTTATCCATTGACGATGACAGCAGTAACTGCATGCATGCGCGTTCGAATTCATTAAGAAATCACAACTTGACAATTAGTTAACTAACTTAGTGAAGAAGCTGACCTGAGATCTAGACCAAGACAGGTCCAGAACGTCGTCGGAATGGCCATGGAAAGAGCAATGAGGTTTCTCAGAGAAAGAAAACACTGTTTCAGGGATATGAACATAATCCGGAATCGTAAAACTACTTCCTCTCTTGCTTCCATGTTTCCCCTTCTTCTTCTTCTCATGCCATTCTTCCTTCCCATTTCGTTCTGGGGTTCCAAGTAACGATGGATGAATCGGAGTTAGACTCCCTTCGTCTGGCTTCATCGACGTAACCTCAAATTCTTGAACTTCCCATACGTGAATTACCTTGTCTTCCCCTGAACTCGCCAAGTAATGGCCATCATTACTGAACCTGATCGTCCAGATACATCCTTCATGAGCTTGAAATTCCTGACACAGATGCAGAGCTGAGAGCTCCTTCATGGATTTACCACTCTGCCGTACTCTCACCCACTGTTCGTTCTTCGTGGGCTTCTGCTCAGAAGTTGACAATTGTGCGGACAGCGATGACGATTTCTGTGGTTCATCTCTTTCTCTCTCGCCGATGAACCCAGACGCTACTCCCTTGATGTTCTTCAACAGAGCCGCCCCTGTTCTTTTGCTCTTCCTTAAGCTCTTTGAGAAATATGAATGTTGTGTTGTGAGTTTTCTATCGTACCCAAGACCGTCGCTGGTACTTCTGGCGACTTTGTTACGACTCATTAGCTCTTTCACCATCTGGGAATGCCCAAGGTGTCGTTCAAATTCCTCCATTGTTAATTTCTTCCCCGTTTGCAGATCGCTTAGCCTGTTCCACATCCCGTCTTCGCTTGACTCGTTAACGATGAACTCTTTTCCCGTGTCCAAATTCTTGATCAAGAAGAAAGCCCCTAATCCCCAGTTAGACTTCACCGACGTCATCTTCGAGCCGTGCTGCCGTGGCGACCGCCCCGGTTTCTCCTTACCTTTCAGTGCAGCTCGGGATTCACCTTGGCAGGGACGAGAGCCGCCGCGAGAAAATGTCACGTCCGATGTGGTTCTCGTGAGGCGTTGCTTGGAGACTTTACCGATGAATTCCTCTTTTCTGCATTTTGGCATCGAGAAGGAGTCAATGTCGCCTTCAGATCGCGAGCGACCCAGAACGAAGGGAATGATGGACGGCTTTCTTGACCTTCTATGCTGTTTAACCTCTGATTGTGAACTTACGGTGGAAGAAGATGAATGAGGAGGAGAAGGAGAAGATTTACTTGTGCTTGTTGGTGTTGAAGGTGAACAATCGGCCTGGTCGTTTTCAAATTTTTCCGAAATGGCGCGATCCAGAGCCATGCTTGTGATTCTTAAGAACTCTTTGTTCTCGTCCAGACCCATACCAAGAAGTAACCGTTTTCTTCGCTCCGTGATTGATCCTGGAGACGCGATCCACATGTCGTAATCGGAGCCCAAGGAGGCGAAGGGCACCGGAATTGGCTTGACTCTCTCGGATCGTTTGGGAGAGATGTTGGCGCTAAACGACATGCGGCTGTCTTCAAAGCCATCGTCTTCATCGGAGGAAGAAGCTTCCAGATCGATCGGAGCGGCGGAGGACATACGTTCGCGCGTCTCGAAGAAGTGGTCGTCGTCTTCATCGTCGTCTCGGAGACCGTCCCAGTTGAGTGTGAGTGATTTACGGCGCTGCATGGCGGCCACCGGCGGTGAAAGGCGGAGGTGCTGGTGGTGATGGGTTCGTGAAGAAGCGGAGAGAAAACTACTTAGCTAAATTTAATTTGTGTTTTTCCTGAAATCGTAGAGAGATTGGAGAGAAAGGAGAAGAGAGAAAATGAAGGGTCAGAGGCTGGTTACCGTTATGGATGTTTTGGAGGCAAAGAAACGGTCAACGATTTTCGCTATTTGTTTATTCATTCAATTACTTGTGAATTTTTTGTGAGTGACTTTGCTTATTGTGCATAACGAGGAGGAGACTACTTATGTTGCCACGTCACGTTAGTGACGTGCCTATCACTACTAGCCACGTTTTAACTTCTATTTTTTATTTGCCAAAGTCAACCTATTTGGGCCTTGTTTGACATCATGATTGAAATTATTTATAAACATATTTCATGTAAACCGGTACAAAACTTTTCTCATATATTTATCTCGTATTTCATATAAACTATTCTAAACGGATTCTTAGTTTCATGTAGAGGAAAGAAAAGGCCGGATTATAAGCCTCAGTTGACTAGAGTAAAAGAATTAGTTTCTCAACATCAAACATCTGAATTTATGTTGAATGAATCGAAAGAAGTACCCCCACACTTTTAGGTTTAGTTAGGGGAAAAATAAGAGGAAGAGAATATTATGAATCAACCATTCGTCTTGAATTTTTCCAATAAGTGTCATTTTCCTTCTTATTTGCTATTTCATGATTTTGAATTGAATCGTATCGATCTCTAATGGGGTTACTACTCAATTTTGTACTTACTATTTTATTTTTCCATTATTTCTTCAATTAGAAGAGTAGTAGTGTGTGTATATATCAGGAATTCTCTCAACCCAAAGTATGACTCTTTATGTCTCTAGGCATGACTAGGTACTTGATGAAATGTGGAGGAAATTAAAGTGGGACAAAGCTTATACTATCTCCGATCCTGAATATAAGACTTTGTTTAATTTTTATTTTAGTCCTAAATATAAGACCCCAATTTACTTTGTCTCTCATGTTTATATATTTTTTCTAAGATAGTCTTTCTAACAATAATAGTTTTAGATAATACATTTAATCAGCAAGGATATTTTATCAAAGACAACACATATTTATTATAAATAACTAACTTACCTTCTTTTATTAATCTCCTCAAATTAGTCAATTAGCTTTTATAATTAGGACCGGAGGTAGTACTACTAAAAGGATTCTTCTTTGAATAATCGGAACTGTAACTGGTATTCCTATAATCTCTCTAATTGTTATTTTCTTTTATAATTCATATTTTGGGTTGAGTTAATTTGTATAGAAATCAATAGAAGTAAATTTTCAGAATGAAAGCGTAAGAACTCAAATAGACCCCTCTTAGCCCTCTTATTTTCTAGGTGGGTCTTTCCTTTCAATCGAATGAAAGCCATGAAAGCCTTCTCGACGTTGACTATGCCTTTCATTCAAACTGAAGTTACTTTTGTTAGAGCATCTTGTGCAACAACTTTAAGAAAACAAATCATATGATAAAAATACTGAGCATTTAAAGGAGAAAATAAATTCATATAGCAATAAATATTATTTTTTGGGGGAAAAAAAACACACACACACACAAGCGACGTAACTTGTAATATGGAACATTTACATCAAATTAATGCAATCCATGTTGGAAGAGTTATTTTTCATTTAAATATGGCAATATTCATATTTGAATTAGTAATTAGCGGTATTGGATTGGCTCTTCACATCCCAAGCCGACCGCTAAAACATCTTCTTGTACTACTCTCTGAAAAAATTTAATTAGAAAACGGAGTTGATGGATAATGGGAAAAATAAACAAAATGTTGTAAAACTACAAGAAATAAGGAGAATGAAGAGTAGAAAAGAAAGCAAAAGATAGAGAAGACAATGGCCTTTTCTCATTCACTTTGGTTCAAGGTACAAATGCCTCATGTATGCCCTCTATTTATAGGCCTCCAAGCATTGAAGTCCTATACTAAGGTTACAAAGGAATAAAGAACATCATAATAGCATTAACAATGAGAAACTCCTCCCAAGTCATTCATTAGGGAGGTTATGTAGTTTATGACACTTGAAGGTAAGGAATCCTATGATAATTCTAACGGTTAGGGGTTATGGACATCCACTCATGCAATATTCATAACACAAAATATATATAGCAATCAACACATATTTTATTAACACTCAATTTATGGCTGTAGTAAAATTAATACTCGAAAAGTTAAGGGAGTTAGAAATCAAGGAATAAATTTTACAAATCTACAATCTATTAGTATAAAATAATGTAAAAGCATAATATGAGTCTACTAAACTTTCCCAGTCTAAGATAACCGTATTCTAATTGAAGCTCGAACGCCCATTCAATAGTCATAAAATTATTGTTTAGTACGTTATTTTAAAAAAAAAAAAAGCAAAGAAAGGAAAATAAAGGAAAAGGGATAGCAAAGTTAATTATATTATGGTTTCATATTTAAAATAGAGTAATTAAATGTGTGTGTATTTGTGGTAGGAATATAACTAAGCATATTGGTTGGTAATATTGGGAAGGGAGAAGATATCTCCCCACGTTGGTGCATGTTTGTCATGGATTGGATATTTCTTTCTTTCTTTCTTTTTTATGGATAGATCATACAATGCCATTAGATTAATGTAATAGTGGCAGTCTGGGACCCAATAACACCGAACGCTTTTTTAAGTCTTTATATTAAGTATAATACTGCCAGTTTGAACTGTCAATAAAATAAAAGATATAATGGATCTGGGGTATGTCATAAAAACAAACAAATCTAATTCCTATATTTAAATTTGGATTAAAGTCTTATATTAAATACTAAACAAATTCTTTTTTTTTTGGGTGAAATACTAAGTAAATTCTTTAACTAGCTAACTCATATATTTATGATCGAAACTAGTATTATTTTTGTTTCTAGCTATCTTATCTCTATATTTTTATATTTGAATTTCGATTCGAAATGTTTGATGTAAAATTTTGTTGAGACTAATATATGTTTCAGTCCAAAAATTTCCATCTAATTTAAAGACATTATAGTTTGAGGTAAAAGTTAATAAAAATAAATATAATTTTCAAAGTAAATATATGAATTTGGCACAAATTAATTATATTACCTCGTATATATAAATGAGCAAATATAATTTATCTGAAGTCATGATCAAATTATATAAGGATTTTTATTATTTTCATTTCCATTTTCATTTCTTGTGAAGTTTCATCCAAGGGGACGAATACATTAAAGTATGGACCATTGATGAAAGCATGTTTGTCAAGTGATGAAAGCCAATATTATAATCTTCAGGGAATATTAAAGATTTATATAAATTTCAATAGACAAGTATATAAGCTTGGGATTTGAGCTTCTCCGTAAATTGAAGTCTTGAATTTATACCCAAAAAAAAGAATGCTAAACAAAATTAAAAAAGCAGGGAAAAATATATTCTTATTATTCTATATATCCAATCATAGTGGAAAAAGTAGGCCAGTATTGAAGAATATATATAATCATTTCAACCATTACCAACTGCTTCTTCTTCTTCGTCGTCGTCCTCTTAGTTTCTCTTTAATTAAGAATCCGAAGACAAGTTTCCCAAGCGTAAAACAGAAGGAAGAATCTTTCAGAATTGGGAAAGAAAACTAAACCCAGATTTAAAGCTTTAATTAACAAAATCAATAGAATAGTATATATTCTGCGTATTATAAAAACAAAAAAAGAAATCTACCAGAATAAGTTCTCCTCTACCTTTAGCTACATAAAGTGGATACATAGACCGTAACAACAAGGTAGGAACAAAAGAAGCTGGTAGCAGCAGTAAAGTTATAAACTTCTACACCCAACTGTTCTACATATTCCTCTCTCTCTCTCTCTCTCTCACAATTCACATTAATTGATCTTTTTCACTTTACACCATCACAAGCGCTTTACAACATATCACTTGAGATCTTAACAAGTAAAAACATGTTCAAAACAAAAAGTAGAAAAGAGAAACGTAAATCTGACGTTTGGCAGTTGCGTAACGTTAATCTCACCGAACGCAGCTAGCATTATCTGAAATATATGCATTCCCAATTCAACTGCAAGTCCAAATCCAAGAAGCTTGACAAAATATTGAATGAAACCAAATATTGATCGATCCATAAATATCTAACAATTGAAGCTTTAAGACTGAGACGATGAGATATATAAAGTTTTGGAACAGTTGAACTCACGAATACATGTATATAGGTCCTTGTTTCTGCATCGTGCTGAGGAACATTTGAAGAAGTGGCACATGGGTGGATATAATTACATCTTACACTCCTGTCTTCGAGATTTCTTGGGGTTTTGGTGAGAATCAGAAAGAGGGTTACGTTGGGTTTGGAACAATAATAATTCAACCTCTCTGGAGAGATCAAGTGGGTTTCTTCTGCATGATGATGATGAAGAAGATGTGAAAGAAGTAGTGTCAGAAGCAGCTTTTCTTTTGAGAGATGGTTTGGGTTTTCTGGGCGGAGCTGGGCATTGTTTGGCTTCTGGGATTCTGTGGTCCAAAGACGTTGGAGTTCTGAACCCATCATTATCATCGTCAACATGATCATCATCTTCTTCCTTTTCTTTCTCTTGTTGCTTCTTCTTGAGCTTGATCTGTTCCTTTGACTCTTCTCTATTCTCGCAGCTTTCTGCTTCTGCTTCTTCTTGGGCTGTAGAAAGAGTCTCTGAAGTGTTTGAAGCAAAACTCTCACTGTGTGGAACGAGCCTTTCTGCAAGCTGCGAATTGGCTGTATCTTGTTGGTCCTTTCTAAGAAGAAAGATGTTATCAGAAGTACTTGATGACATGGTTGAGATGAAAATGGGAAGGGTTTGAGAGTACATGAGAAGCAGAATCTCTCTCTATCTTTCTGTCTCTCTCTCTCTCTATCTCTGCAAAAGAAGAAAAAAGGAGAGATGAGAGGAAGAAGGGAGGAGGAGGAGGAGGAGCAGTTGGGGAGGGTAGTTATAGAGATACAAAAAGATGGAATGTAATAATCAAATCTCACACTTTTTCATCTTTTTCTTCAAGTGTTCTCTAGTTTGGCTAGCTTCTTTGCCCGTACTTTTTCTTTGGGAATTTAAATATGCTTGAAAGTCTCATGGATCACCCAATTTCTAACAAAAATCATATGTATTACTAAATTATAAACTACACCCTTTAAACGACTTGGACCACTCCTATAAAATGTTGAATAAACTTCACCAAAATATATATATTTGTACTCATATAAATATATATTAGACATCATGTATTGGTGAGATCTTGAGACTAAAAGTCATACTCTTTAAAATTCTTTAAGCCAAGACTGGTTACCAGAGAGCTAGCTAGCTTTTAATATATATTTATGGAGAGAGATATCTATGGTAAAAATGTGGAAGAAACTTTTGGAGGAAGTGTGTTTCTAAATGTAACCAAATTGGTGTAAAGAGAGTGCATCGGATCCTTCGCCAGAGACCTGTACATCTTGTCACAAACTAATGTCTCTTTCTTTTTCTTTGGTCGTCACTATTTGCTTACAAGTCTCAATTTTCTTAATATTCTTCTGCTTCTTCTGTTCCTTTCCCCTTTTTTGTTTTCTTTTTTCAACTAAACTGATAGGTACTAACAAACTGGGACTCTAAATGAAATCAAACCTATAATTTCTTAAGGAGCACGATATAACTAGACTCTAAGATTACAAGCTTTTTGGTAATAAAAAAGTTTGAACTGAATCTCAGAAACCCCTCAAGATCATCCCCGGCGTGTTTTAAGGCTCAAAAAATCCTTCAAAGTGTACTTATATGTCTTCTGCTAACAATATTCTTATTACCGGTGGGATTTAAACTCATAATCCTATGAATTATTATGAATATGTTTGTTTCCCACACAGTACAAGGCAAAACAGGTTTTGCTTTTTTCTGACTTGTCCGAACTTTGATGCATCTCTCCCACGTGCTTTTGCTTCTTCCTCTTCTGGGACCATTTATACGCACTTCCATATATTTTCATTATTATTCACTTAAGCATTTACCCCTCCCATCATTTCCTCCCTTGCATGCCTTTCTTTTCTCTTTCTTATTTTTTTCCCCCAAAAAAATTGAGACTTTATTATGATGTCTTCATCACATATTTAATAACTTCTTCATTCTTCATTTGTCTTATTCGTCTCAAGTCTTGCTTATTTTCTTCCTAATCTCATATTCAAAGTAACTATTTAGTAGTTTGATTTAATCTTGTTCTCTTGTCTAATTCATTCCGTTAATTACGTAAGCATTCGATATTATTGATTACTGAACTGTAGTTCTTGTGTCCAATAATTATATAAGTTGTTCAAAGATAAGGGATAACTCTGGATTTTGTCCTCACGTGTGTTTGATTTTATCCCATATTTAAACTTTCAAACTTGGATTTGAAGATATGTAATATAATTCTAACATTATTACCAAGTAAAAGCTTGACAATAATTGCAAATTTCTTTTATTTCTTGATTTGAATTTTTGTATCATTTATTTTGCATACACTGTATATTGCCTGCTAGCTTTATATATGTTCGTGAAGTATTTAGCAGTGATATATATATATATAGATGTCGAAATTTGTTTAGAAAATTGTAAATATTTAATGAATAAAACTGAAAAAAAAAATTAAACATAGCGAAAAGGATCCGAGGAAAGCTCACATCAAATCACATAAAGTTCAAACTTCAAAGTCTAAAATATTACCTACCAAATAAATAAGTGACCTCTCTTTGGGTCAATGAACTATCACGAAAAATCTCTTTACCTCTCTGTCTTTTTCCCTTTAAGTTCAAATATGCATTTCTTTTCTTCCTTTTTTTTTGGTGAAGGAGGGTAGTTCAAATATGCATTTCTGTTTCTGTCTAATTTCTCGATTATATAAAATAATCTTCATTAATTACACGCAACAATTTTTGTTTAAGTTTTCATTTAAGGTATATTTATTCTCAAAAAATTTCCTGAAAAGCTTAACGCAGAGTATTAACCATTAACCCACAAAAAAAAATATTTTTATGAGTTCAGCCATATATGTAGATTTTTTTTTTAACCAGATATATGTAGATCTTTTTAAATTTATATATTTGTGCGCATCTAAAATTTGAAGCAGTCATAGGATTCCTTGACTGAAAATGGAAGTAAAAATTTCAGATTTGGTTGAGCTTCCAAAGCTGCTATGCCTATACCTGTTCCCTGACGTTATCAACTATCACTATCATATCTACAGCCCAAATTTTCATGATTATTTATGACTAACGGTGATAACAATATTATATTTTATAGTATATATATATATAAGAGTATGTTCTTGTTACGTTTCCATCAACTATCAATCACCGAAATATATTTTGCCCATAATAATATAACATTAAACCGCGTGGTAGGTTGTGTATTTGTTGGCCCTACGATGGTTTAGGAACTTAAAAAAATAATTAAAAATATAATTTAGGTGAAATAATGAGGAAAAACGATAGTGATGCACGAATGGATTTGACTTTTGATGTAACTTCCAAAGAGTTGAGATCACCAATCAGTATTTTACCAAATATTTCTAAACAAAATTCAATCGTGCAAAATAATACAAACAAAATCAGTCTAGCAGTTGAATTTTGATGTAGTGCCAACTACAAATATTTGAGTACTAATTTAAAAGCAATCCAATCATTAAAACCATCAGACTTTTGTTACTTCGTTTCAATCTTCAATCACTTTTTAAAAAATTATTTTTTTAACTCCTATTTATATCAATTTTTGGAACATCTATGTATGGTATTTATTAAATATATCTCGTCATGTGAATTATTTGTTATCACATATAAAACATTCTAACTACTTTATTTTTACTTATAATGAAGTGTGAATGAATATTTACTTTGCATGGAAGATTTAAATTATAGTAATTATCTTGTTTCAAAATCCGAAAACATAAAGCAAAGGCATGCCGGGAATCTCATAAGCAAGATAATGATTCAAATATTGGAAGTTAGTGAATAATAATGGCGGTTTTACATTTTTTACTATAAAATAATATAATTTGCTGAAAAAGAAGAGCAGCATGCATGCAGAGGCATTGTTTAATTAGAGAAAATAATTATTAAACTGTACGTAAAAGAACATAGAGACTTTCACTTTCATTGGTCATCATTAATTTCAGTTCATATTATTGTGACTTTTGATCATTTTGTTTCCATACCTCTTACTATGTCTCTTTCATCCTTTAATTTGTACTATTTTGGATATGCATTAACGCTGGATCTACCATAATTAATTATATTGTAAAACATGTTTTTATCTGTGCATGTTTGGGAGAGCTTGAAATAAGCTCTTGTACGTTTTCTTAAGAGGCAAGATTATTCTCTCTCTCTCTCTCTCTCTCTCTCTCTCTCTCTCTCTCTCTCTCTCTCTCTCACACACACACACACTTATCTAATATAGTGCAAATTAAAGTTAAGTCAAGATCAAATAATATTTTTCTATTATATTATTACCTTTAGTCCTAAATACAAGAGGTAGATGAGAGATTTTTTTATAATCATAAATATAAAACCTTAATCAATTTTTCTCAAAATTATAATTTTGCCCAAAGTATCCTTAGTAAGAAGTTTTTATCAAGGACAGTTACAATATACTACCTCTAGTTCTTAATATAAGATCTCGTTTGACTTTTATTTTGGTCATAAATATAAGATCCCAATTCACTTTGTCTCTTATATTTATCTTTTTTTTTCTTAATATAATTCTTCTAATAATAGTAGTTCTAGCTAATAAACTTGATGAATAGGGATTTTAGGAAAGACAACACTTATGTATTACAAATAACTAGCTTGACTTATTTTCTTGATTTACTCAAATTAGTCAACTAGCTCTTATATTTAGGATCGGAAGTAGTATATAAATAGAAAGTGGATGTTTGAAAAAAAAAAATCAACATGCTTTTGTCACAAATTAAATAACTAATTTAATTATTTTTCTTAATATTTCTAAATTTATTATCTAACTCTTATATATATATATATATATATATATATTAATAACAGGAGGGAGTAATACTAAATGATACTCCTTCTGGCTCAAAATATAAGCTAAATTTTGTTGGAGGGATTTGACTTTTTTAATAAGATAACATTCACTTTGTCTAAACATTTAATGAGTTTTTTTTTTCAATTTTATCTCCATATATTCTCTTTCCTCTTTGATTCATTTATTACATCTTTTACCTATTCTTTTTATTAATAAGGGTATATTTGGGGGAAAAAATGCATGCCTTACATATTTATTATTTTAAACTGATTTAACTAGTTCTTGATAAATATAAATGGATAAAGTTTACCTTATATTTTGAACTAGAAGGAGTAATTATTCATCAAACTATATTCGCCCCAACTCTAATTAAAACCATAAGAAAACAATAAAAAGCAACAATAAATCAATTATTTTCTATTTATACTAATATACTAAATGATTGTACAATCAATATTGAATGTTTCATCTACATGCACTGCGTGGAGTCAATATAAATATGGTTGCATTATAAGATTCTGAATACACACACATATATATTGTGTCATGTGGTCGGGTGAATAGAAATAACTCACATTCTCATAATTCAACTTCTGAATATTTCCTACCCCTTTTGCTCTTGATTTTAATTTAAGGTTGTAGTTTAATCACGGAATCAATTTCGGTGCTCATATGTAGAGATGAGCATCAACCATTCAAATTTAATATTGACGGTTAAGATTTAATATTTAATACTTTTGTTTTTCAAAAACTATTTTCTTTTAATAGGCACACAATCCAAAATAAATATAATCTGTTAACTGTAAGTTTCTTAAAAAAATATTTTTATTTAAAAATTATGAATTTAAAATTTTAAATCTAAA